GGGCCCGAAAAGTTTCCGAGGCTTTCGAGAAACGTGCCTCTGGTCTCTAACGACTCCGGTAATCTTGTTTTCTCGCTGACAAGGTGGATTTTAGTAAACTGTTGTTAAACCCTGATATGAAACATCCCTTTTTTAATTCCCAAGGTTTCATAATCAAAACTATTTTTTACTGCTCGTGATATGTTTTTCTTAGGCTAGGTTGGTTCTAAACACCCAATATGCTTTAATTTGTATTTATGAAATTAGGAGGATCTTTTCAGTACTAGTCTCAATAACAAATTCCAAATTTTCCGTCTTCTCTTTCTTCCATCTCCTCTAGTATATCAGTTCATTCATTTCGGCAACGTTTAAAAAAGTTTTAGAAGAGGTAAATACCAAGGCATCAACATAACATTGGCGTTAAATTTCTAAATTCAATAAAACAAAAACAACTACACAAGGGTTAATTACATGCACTCAATTTCCAACTTATACTTAAAAACCAAAGCAGTGGCCCAGAGATTAAGTCTTCAAATCAAAACATTAAGACTAAAGAACAAACCTTGGATAATCAGTCCCAGTAAAACTACAGCTGCAAAATGGATTTTCAGTTTTCGCATCTTGTCCCTTGAAGGTGAGAAGCAGAGGAAAAAGAGTGTATGGACGTTGTTCCTTCTTAAAGAGCAATGCACAAAGATTTACATCTGGTACAGGCATGAACCGCAATACTAAGGCCCTTGTAAGCTAAACAAACAACCTGTGACATTGTGTATGTAATATATCAAACATGAGAGACAGTGTTTCATCGGGATATTCAAACACCGAAAAGAGAGTTGAAAATGCGATGCGCAGCGGAGCATTTTTTATGAAATTCGAGGTGTTTGGGTAGCCGATAAAACACTGGCTCGAGTGGTTGATATATCTTTTCAAGAAGTGATGCTAATTAAGACTGGGTATCCAAACTTCCTTCTCGGTTGTGATTTCCTTTATTCTAACTTGATGAATTATTAATGTGTTTGAGAAGACACGTACGATTTCTCTTCCCTCCCTGATGTCGTCAAGAAGAAGCGACGTCATTTCCCGGGGGGGGGGAACTCCCATATAAAAAAGGACGGGGGTGCTCGTCGGACCTTTTAGGAGTTAAAAAAGCGGTTGTGGTAGCTCTTAGAGTGTTCAGCCTCAAAAGGTCCACAACAGGAGCTTTTGTGGTACTTTTTAGAGTAATGAGCCAGGAAAATATGACAGGAGATAATGTGCTGTTTTAGAATTGGTATTAAACTCGTAAGGGTGAGGAAAAAAAAACTTCATGCCACGTCCACAAAACAGGATCTTGGTACCTCTTAGGGACTCTTCTCAAAATTTCCAGCAAGCGCCCCGTCATTTTTATTTGAGAGTCCGCCCCCAACCCCCGGGTAAGACAAGCCATAATAGGAAAGCAGAAAGAAAACTGACACATAGCAGTCAATCATAAGCCTCCCCGAGCATCAACATTTCTGCATGCAGGCAACTTTTCCGACGAATAAGAATACTTTAGCCATCAGTAACTTTTAACAGCTGGTTTCATGAGCAGTTGTGTTTTCTCGTTCAAACAGAAAGGCGAAGCTTGACAGCGTCAACTGTTGTAAAGGATTATGTCAATTTCGAAGAAAGAACGTTTGCTTTACTGAACACTTAGGCATTTGAAGTTGAAGAGAGCCTGTTTGAAGCAAGCTGACATATTGTTACAGCTAGCCAGGTGATAACATTTGGGTGTCTTGGCATCCAATATCGCTGTTTTAGATTTCTCAGTAAAACGTTTAACCTCCCCGGCTTTTCACTCTCAGACGAAAGTTTATTTGTGGGTGCCGAGGCTGAACTTTCATAATTTTAGAAGATTTGGAGCAGTTTTGCAGTTTTGAAAACAATACCGTATTTCTGCGTAAACATTTTCCGAGAAGCATTCATATTGCACACGTCAAACAACCACGTCACTGTCTGTTTGTAAATTACAAGACTATTTCCATGTTGGATTTGAACAAAGTTTCTTTATCCTTAGGAACCTTCTTAAAAAGCTCTTAAATTGGAGTATCTCTCAGCTTCGAGACTTTTAACGTTTTTATAACTTGAGAAGGCTGTTAAAAAAGATGGATTTTACTAATACTTTACCTGATAATTTGGAAATTTAATTCAAAAACCCTATGTCCACAGAACCCTTCGTTTCTCGTGCCAAGGCCCTGCCAGCTAAGAGATGCAAAAAGGGCTATGGGGACGAGAATAAGCTATTCTCCTATTGTTTCCTCGTGCTACAGAAACCGCTGACACATTAGTCCGATCACTAGGGACTAAAACAAACTTTGCCATTACTTATTATTTTGCTCTATTAATAAATTATTTTAAAAGGACTGGCACTAGTCCCGAGAGAATAGAACCCTTTAAATACGCCTTAGTGTGCTAAAGATTTTGAAATTTTGGGAAACGAGGCCAAGTTTGCCCGTACCAGAGATCGGAAAATTGAAAAATATACGAGGGAAGAACAACTAGAATTTTGAGTTTTCAAATTATTTAATAATGCAGCGTGTAAACAAGATGTATAACGCAGAGTATTTTTGAGCTCCCAAATGTTTTTCCTAGATTTTGACCAAAAATGCAAGAAATACGATAGATCTTGTTGCTTTGAATCACATTTCGTACAATTTAATTTAGGGCTACAAAGCAATGCCAACCCCTTCACATACCCAATCTCGTCCGCAGGTCGGGAGGCCAGCGCTGATTAAAAACGCGTGGGCTCTGGGAACGAAATTGCCATGTACCCGCGGCTCGTTAAATGACATGCCGTATACCGGCTTGTTTTGAATAAACTGTAAGGTGAGACTAGCCTCGCGTACACGTAGCAAAACCAGTTTGTTTCTTGTAATAAGTTTTGAGCGGATGACAGACAGTAACATGGAGTTTGAAAAGTAACCATCACTCGTGTACAGTCCGTCAACAACATGCGTGGCATATGGAGATGTGTTTATCTGCTCCACTTTAAAACTCTGCTAGTTTTAATCTTGGCTTTAAACATTGTTGTTTTTATTGTTTTGAATTCTATTATGCTGCACGACAAAGATGAGCTAGGTAAGTACAAAAGACGAGGTAAGCGTTTGAATTATTTCAAAGTTGAAATTACTTCTGGGCCTCCTTCAATGGCCGCTGGTGATGATTACCGGTGTATTAGAGCACCTGAACCCGGCGATCACGAAACTGGAGAAAAGTCAACTAAAATTTAAAGCTACAACAGCTCGTTCACGCAGTGACTCAGCACGATTCTTCCAAATGTCGTCACATTTTCACCCTTCAAAGGACAATGTACTATAAATACAGGCCTTATTTTGTAGAGAAAATTAACCACGACGACTAAATTTCTGTTTCCATCGTCCTGCGTGAAGTTGAACTTAGGTTTATCTTCACGAGTTTGCTCAGGTCTCTGCAGCGATCGTCTTATTGCCCAATAACAACATAATCAACAAACTCAAAAAAGTACTGCATGGTCATGATAACGCTTTACCAAAAGTTAGTTTCTCGTTCATAAATTTTCGATTCAATTCTGACTCGATTACTATGCGTTGCGGCTTGCAAAAATCAGATAATCAATATCGAGTTTCAGTAGAACAGCTTGGGTTTCGACAGTGAATAAATTTGCAATTCTGTGAGTGAAACAATTAATATGCAAAATGGCGAATTTGCCCAAGCGAATCTGTTTCTCATTTTCTCAAAATTGTTGCCTACGAACCAGTGATTCATAAATTCTAAAAGCTGTTCAATCAGTCGTTCAAGAAAAATTTCCATAGCAAGGTTTTTTTTTATGCTTAAGAAGTAGAGCGTAGTACAGTAGCCAAAACGAGAAACTTTAATTAACCTGCATATTTTCAAAGTCGACGTTGTTGCCGTTGGAAATAATAATAGCCAGGCATTTCCTCGATTGCATTTCACTTGAACTTGGGGCTGCCAAATTATCGCTGCAGTTGCTATATATCACTAAAATGAGGTGCTTTGTTTCGTTTGCTGTCGTTGATTTTTCTCGCGGTAACTTAATTTTTTATCCTGTTATAACAATGAACAGAAGAGACTGAAAAATATGTTCGTTTCTCGTGTAATCGTTTCTATATAAACAAAATTCTCGATCTTGATTGGTTCTCCGCGCGCCTATTTGTCACGCAATCGGTTCAGTTTAGTTTTTGTAATTGGACACCTGTTCCATTCGCACGTCAATTACTTGCGCTCAGATGGCTTTCTTTTCGATGTTTCCTATGGTGTTCTAAACTTATGGAAAGCGCTACTGACTTTTTCGCTCAAAGGGAGTTCTAAAACAACCTTTTTAATTTCGATACTTTAACGTACGATACTGTTACTGATATGATTAATTAGTAACTGGACCTCGTGTCGTGCAATTCAATGAGAAATCGTGCTCGTAATTTCAAACAAATCGGCCTCGATCGCGTCGCACGCTCGTCCGATTTTGAAATTACTCGCGCGATTACTCCCTAATTGATCTCTCCTCCGTCCAATTACTATTATTATCATACACTGAACTCACTATCTCTTTTCTGATTGGCCGAAAGCGTACAATGAATTTTCGAAATCAGCGCCCGTGACATCATCTAGCTGCAGACTATGCAATAATCATGTCGAGGACACTCAAGGTCACGGGTAATCATGTCCTGTATGACCGCGGTGCATGATTTCGAAGGGTAATCATGTCAAGTTCGCGCGCTGTGTGTTGCTTGCCGTCAGTGAAGAAGCAGAAACATGGCTTTCATTTTTTTTCTTTCAATGTATAATAAAACAATTATTAGGTTCGGTTTTTGTGATATTCAGAATAATAAAGGTCTCATCAGCGGTTACCAGCCTCAGCCTTCGGCTTCAGCTGATAACCCCTACCTCGACCTTGATTATTCTGGATATCACAAAAACCGCATCCAATAATTCACGGTTTCCTAACGAGAAACACACAAAAAAAAGATGCATGTACATGACTTCAAATACGACAAGTTATGGAATTTCTTTTTACCGGTACAAGTGCACGCAGAAACTTGAGTGCGTTTGGAAGAATTTTAGAATGTACTGCGGTGTGAACGTGCCGCTGATCTGGTTCGCGAATTCTCTTAAACTCGCTCCTGTGACTGCATTACGCCTCGTCCACACTACGCTCGAGGAATTAAAAAAAAAAGAGGTTTCACTCTGAAAACGCATCAAATGTTTTTCGTCCACACTACGCCGAAGAAATCTAAAAACGCAGTAATCACCGGTCACTTTGTATTTGTGTTTGAGGAAAAGCTTCGTTTTCGATTTAAAATCTTTTCCGTTCACACACAAACAAAAAGCCGACATTTGTAAATTTCTCTGGTTTGAAGAGCGTTTTTGAAAAGCTCTGTCTTCGTGACGGATCAGTGTGGACGGTAGGCCTAACCGTAGAAATAAAATAAAGCTTAGTGCGTTTTCAAATTTCTCCGACGCAGTGTGGACGCTGCCTTAGACTTTGCAGATGTACTCGTGTAAGTGCGCTCATCATTTCTTTATTTATGCAATGTTCACACTCGAATTCTTGTTCTTTGCAGATGGCAAATCTCCTGGATTCAATGTTAAAGATAGAGAGAGTAAAGAGTTTAATTTCGCAAATCATTTAGCAGAAAACATCAAAGAGAATCATGGATTGAATGCTTTCCAAGAATTTTCAGATCAAGATGGACTTCAACCTCCTTTAGAGAAAAGTACTTCTACTAACAACCGTGACGATTTGGAGCTCTCAGAATCAAGAATCTCCATAGAGGAAGATGAATCAATTGTTCCAAATAATGTTGCACAAAATGCATCTCAGAATGAACAAAACAGTGTGTTACCTCTAAAACTTTCGACCTCGTCGAGCTTTCATCGACAAACTGGAGACAGGGAAAGGCTACCTGAAACAACAAAGAAAATCTTAAATAAGTCTATTTTAGCAAAAAGTTCCGTTCAACCAGCGAACTCCCCAAATAGCAACGCTGTAGCAAAAAGTCGTTCTAATCTTAGAACAAGTAGTCATGATATGCTGAAGATAAAACCATCAAAACTACCCTTAGACACAAACAGAAATAGTTTTTCACATTCCATTCAAAATCATTCTCTAACACTGGTGAAAAATAATACAGAGGAACAAGTAGACAAGATTTTGCCCACAACAGCAAAGCTTTTCACTCAAGAGGATTTAAACAACATAGCTGAAAACATGCAAGTCCGCTTCGAAGTGTTGGAGGATATCAGAACAGCAGAAGTTAGTTTGAGAAATAAGGGAATCTCGCCAATTGAAGGAAAACTGTGGTCTATCCACTTTTGCGTCACGACCGGAATAGAGCTTAACCACCTCGTGCACAAACCGGAAGGGTACGTCCTGCCAAACCAAAAATCGATCAAACTTACGCACTTTAATGGATGCACTTATAGGTTAGAGCCAACAAGAGACTTCAAGGCCATCCTCCCGGGAAACGCACTAAAATTCGTGATCCATGTCGGTGCAACGCTAGCCAAGAGTGACCTGGTGCCAAGGTGGTACATCACTGCAGATGGCCTTGAACCAAGAATCATTTCCAACACCGCTGATGAGAGCCTAGACTTTGTGGTCCTTTCAAAGAGAGAGAAGGCCTGGGATAGATTTGGAAATAATGACGTGACCGATCTAAAGAAGGCGCCTCTTTTGGTGGTGCCGACTCCTTTGGAAATTGTCGGATTGAATGAGTCCATGAAATTATCCATTGATAGCCAATGGGTTGTGTTGGGAGAAGCAGGATTGGAAGAGGAAACAAGCTTCCTAGCAGGTAGGCTTGTCTGCTGCTTTCTTGATAAAATCATAGCACGTATAAGCATCATCTCTTGCAAGTTCATCTCGCAGGAATTAGGGAGTTTAAGAAAGCCACGACGGCAACGGGAACGTCGCTAAACAAAAGATTTAATGAGCGCTACAGTGTCTGTGCACGTGCGTTATAATTCTTGGTACATTTCTTTACCGTCCTCTGCAAATCAACAACGTTAAATTTATTGCTGTGTTCCAGATTTAGTTTTGTGATAGTTTTGAGAGTGGTAAACAAAGTAAATGACTTAAGAGTATCGCGAGATTCGTAGGTAAAATATAAATCGATTTTTTAATTGAAGTTCTCCTCGGGTTACCGTCGTGGCTAATTAAACTCCCTACTAACGATAGCACTACAAAAACTATCGTATAGTAAATTCGGTTTTGGCAAAGAAAGAGTCAGGGAAGCTATGTGTTCCCCCTTCCTCTCGTTGTCTCCGCCCTCAAGACCTTTTCCCACGACCTGCTTCATAGACACTGCATAAATGACGCCGATATTTGAATAGCACTACTTTTACATCCCAAGCCTGACATTCATGCGAAAAACCTTGTCTGGAAATATTAAAGCGAGGCTTAAGGATGTCTACAGTATTGCTGTTCTATCGGTACAAAACGACGAAAATGCTTGCTTTGTCATCAGGTTGTGAGAGATTAAAGTTATCGACGATGCACGTTTCAAAAGCTGTTGCTTTAAGCGTCGGGTGGTTGCAAGAGCAAAGGTTATTTTAACCTCTTGGACAGCTGCGTAATACTGCCAAACAATACAGCCACATTCCCGCCAACCTTTGGAATAGGTGAATTTACGGAAAACATTCTGCAGTGTTTGGCAGTGTTCTAATGCGATGCACCAAGAGGTTGTTACTCTTTCAAATATCTCAGTTTATCCTCGCAGTCAGTGCATTGAAAAATCAAAGGTGATCTATGAATCTCGTACTCTTCAGGTAAACTAGAAGTGCAGAAATCTCTATCTGATTCAACGAACAGAAAAGTAATCAAGCTTGCATTAGGTAAGGTACTACTGGAAATGCCGGAAGATACACAACAGTTGTCAAATCCGTCTTCTAATGAATCATATCAACTTGAGGTGAAGGTCTCCGAGGAATTGATCAAAATCACGGGAACTGGGAAGGCTGGAGTGTTCTATGGTGTTCAGACTCTCCTTGCTCTCATGGACGACAAAGGCTTGGTTCCACAGGTGTCAATCAAAGACTCTCCTCGTTACTCGTATCGAGGCTTGATGCTTGACGTTGTTCGTAATTTTCAGCCCAAGGGTGAAGTTATGAAACTTTTGGATGTCATGGCTGTGTACAAGATGAACAAATTTCATTTTCATCTCTCGGATAACGAAGGATGGAGATTGGAAATACCAGGACTTGAGGAGCTAACCTCGGTAAGCAAAAGAAGTCTTAAAATATTTTTAATTCTTGCTGTTTAAGAGAATCTATTACTTTGTGTTTGGTTAACCACACACAACGAATTATATTAGCCACTTTATGAAAATGAATGACCTGCTCAAAAGTAAAGGTCTTGAATCAAAGCTCCGAATGACCGTAAATAGAGGTCCTAAATGAAGGTTCCTAATGAAATTCCTGAAGGAGAGGCCCAAAATATCCTTTGTGAAAGTCCATGGAAAAAGGTCCTAAATGAAAGTTCCACATTGAAAATAAAGGGCCCGAATTAAGTTCTTGTCCTAAGTTACTGTCCTTAACAGGCCAAGGTCTAAATGAAGGATCCCGAATAGAGTTCCCTCAAGAAGGCTCTGAGCGAAGGTCTTGAACGAAGGCCCTAAATAAGGTCGTGAATGAAGGTCCTGAATGAAGGACCTTATTGAATTCAAGCGTAGTTTATCAAATACTTTAAATTTTTGAGCGCGAGTTTGAAAAATCAAATTTAACGAATAATGCATGGACTCATAGCTGTTTTTCCACTAAAAGTTACGAGCTTAGTCTCTAAAGCCTACTTCTTCTTCAATGGTACGCTCAAAGAGCAAGGAATTTCGCCTATTGTAACGTTTTTTAACAATTCGTGTAAGGCATGATAACAGCTCAAAGATTCGCATATTGGCAAGTGAGCTCGAGAGAATAGGTAAAGATAAAGTCTGTATACGAGCCAAGTGGCCCATCAGGCCGGAGCTTATCCCGATTTCTGTAGCATGAAGCGACTAGGAGTATTTCTACTCTCCCCTGGATGGGATGCTAGTCCATCGCAGGGTTACCCCCAGCATTAATTTTACCGGTACCCATTTATCACACCTGGGTGGAGAGTAAAGAATCTTGCCTAAGAACACAACACAATTTCCCCGGCCAGGACTCGAATCCAGACCGTTCGATCCGGCCGGATCGAGGCGAGCGCACTAGCCATGAGGCCACCGCGCCACAAGGAAGGGAATAACTTTTACTTAAGTTCTCTTCTTAACTCAAGGTTGGGTCCAGACGATGCCACGACTTACAAGAAAAAACTTGTATCATGTCTCAACTCGGTTCAGGCCCCGATACCAGCACCTCGGGTACTGGGCACTACTCTACTGAAGACTACCGGGAAATACTTCGTCACGCAACACAGCGTCACATTCAAGTGATTCCAGAGTTCGACTTTCCGGGGCACAGTCACGCAGCTATAAAAAGCATGATAGCCCGTCACGACAGACTGATGCAACAAGGAAACGAGAAAGATGCTAAACAATTTCTTCTTAACGATTTCAAGGATGAATCGCGGTATCTATCTGTGCAAATTTTCACCGACGAAACTTCCAATTGTTGCTTGAACTCAACCTACACATTAATGAAGTACATCCTAGCAACTTTAGTGAACCTGCACCACGATATTCAACCGCTTACCGTCTATCACTTCGGTGGAGATGAAGTTCCGGGGGGAGCATGGAAAAAGTCGCCGGCCTGTGAACAGCTAGCCCAGACATTAAACTTTCCATACAGTAACGTTAATACGCACAACAAACTGAAAGAATACTTCTTGCGGCGTTTATCGAATCTCACGGCAAGAATGAACATCGGGGTGGCAGGCTGGGGAGATTTTTTATTCGAGCCAAAAACACGGTCTATCGCTTCAAGAAAGTTTTTCCCAAATAAGGAAGTGTATTCGTTTGCCTGGAGCAGGACTGGGGCGGTGAAAAATAATCACGAGGTGTCCCTCATGGCGAACCACGGATATAAGGTTGGGAACTGTTCTAATTTATAAATAGAAAATAATGTGTAAATTTATTGATTACTTTGTATTATTTTCTTTGTTATCCAAGCAGCTGACGTCATAGAAGGAAGTTTTTGACGACTTCCGAAGACTTTCCGAAAATGGACGGAAATATGCTGGCGCAATTTCCGATGATTGCCGATTTCAAGCTNGGGGGGGGGGGGATTTTTAATAATCTCAATTCAGACTTTTTCCCTTTGATAGCAAAATCTAGTCAGGGTTTTTACAGAAGTATCAATTGAACCCAGTTCCTCATTTCTTGGAAGTAATGTATTTTCTCTATTAAACGCCAGGTCCCTCACTGACGTCGGGTAACCAAGTTTTAGTTGTAAAAAAGCCCTCGAGGTGTAATAAGCTTTCTACTAATAACCTGGGGGCTCAAATAAACCACAGAAGTCAAATAATAGTCTAATTCACCAGACGGACTTTAAAATAAGCCCCGGGAGTGTTTAATCCAGAAAATGCCTCAGTATTCTTTCTGAGAAGCTATTTAATGAATGAATACAGGAGAAAAGGTACGTATGATTCGAGAAAGAATACGTTAAAACACTGTCTGTACATGTGACCAACACATGTCTCATCACGTGTTAATCACAGGTTGTGCTGTCGAGCCCAGACTACATCTATCTTGACCACCCTTATGAGCCTGTCGGAGAAGAGCGCGGGAAGTACTGGGCCACAGCTTATACTGACACGCGTAAAATATTCAACTTTGCGCCCGAAGAGCTCTACGAAGACATTGACAAGATACGAAACTGCTCGGGTTTGAAGAAGTGCGTGGACGGACGGCAAAATGTATTGGGTAAGAATAATCTAACAATGAATTCTCAACACTGATTGACGCATATGTTTTCGAGTATTTCTTCTGAGAATTTGGTAGTGTATCAAGTCAGGAGTACTACGAGTAGAAGATTGACCGCAAACTCACAGGCGAAGTTCTTATTGTAACGTTAACTTTAACATTTTTGCGGCTGACCAATAGCCGTTAAAAAAGCGAAAAACAGGGAAAAGCTGGGCAGCTTTCAATTCGAACAAAAATTCACGAAATTTTGGAATAGTTGGAAAATTTCCCAGAAAATTTTCAGAGACGCTGAAAACTGTTGAATTAACCAAATGCAACCTATTTAACCGGAAAATCTTGAAATTCTAAGAACTTTTTAGTTAACGACTGTGCATTAACTGGTGGCAAATTGCAAAAAAAATGGAGTGCAGACAGTTCATGTAAGTTATATTTAAGAAACCACTTATTTCCTGGCGTGTTCATCTTTTAGGCGTCGAGGCTGCGGTGTGGAGCGAAACAATAAGAACCGCTGACCACATGTACAGCATGATCTTCCCTCGTCTTCTTGCCCTGGCAGAGCGCGCTTGGCACAAAGCACCATGGGAAGGCATCAAGGATAGGCTTGGGCAAGATCGCGAGAAGACTGGTGATTGGGTGAACTTTGCTAACACGCTGGGCTATAAGGAGTTGGGTCGGCTTGATAAGATGGGCGTGACTTATCACGTGACACCACCAGGAGCGAGGTAAAAATAAACCGCAAAACTGCCATTCTCATTGTTTGAGTTGGACTGGGTATAAGTTCGCTTTTGACACTAGGGACTCAGAACTTCTTGAAATGTATGAAAAAATAAAGTACAAAAATATTCTGCTGCTCACTCGCTAAGCTACGATCATGGACAAAAGTCT